TATGAACAGTTCGACTTACTTGGTGTAGGAAGCTGATGGTGTCCCCTCATTTGGTCTGGCACGACCATGGCTCTGGCCCTCCTGGCCTCTGGCTGACTACTCCCTTAACATTTGTCACTCAGATACATGGATTGATCGAATGATCGATTATAGACTGATTATTTAATCGAAAGGTGTGTATAGATTGCTCCTCCAGTTGCGTTAGCAATTTTATAACTTTTTCTCTGCTGACTCCTGTCTTTGGGGTAAGCTCCGCCCTTTCATTAGACCGAATTCTCCCCCAAAGGTCCGTCTGTCGTTGGTCAGCTGGATAAAGAAGGCTGGATCTCCTCAGGCCGTCTCGCTGAGTCGGCACTCTGTACGCTTTGGCCGTACAGCCGCTTGCCGCCTCTTCCGCGTGGATCAGCGGTCTAAGCAATGCGACAGTTTCTTACTGACATCGCCCTTCCGCATTGCACTACAAATGCTACCCTTCGTCTAACTTCTCTACTGTGAACCCAAGATAACTTAATGCCTAAACGTTACAAAACCAATGCCGAATTTCTACGGCATTACAGTCTTCCCAGTGGTTTCCTTCCTTCTGGCTTTCCCACCAATATCCTATATGCATTCCTCATCTCCGCCCATTCGTGTTACATGCCCTGCCCACCTAATCTTCCTTGACTTGATCATTCTAATTATACTTGGAGAAGAGTACAAGTTATGAAGCTCCTCATTATGCAGTTTTCTCCAACCTCCTNGATAACTTAATGCCTAAACGTTACAAAACCAATGCCGAATTTCTACGGCATTACAGTCTTCCCAGTGGTTTCCTTCCTTCTGGCTTTCCCACCAATATCCTATATGCATTCCTCATCTCCGCCCATTCGTGTTACATGCCCTGCCCACCTAATCTTCCTTGACTTGATCATTCTAATTATACTTGGAGAAGAGTACAAGTTATGAAGCTCCTCATTATGCAGTTTTCTCCAACCTCCTGTCACTTCATCTCTCTTCGGTTCAAATATTCTCAACACGATATATGATATAACTCAGTCCTAAGTGCGAACTATATTTATAGGTCTTTCGTTTTGTTCTTCTTTATACATTACATGTTTCGGCCCCAAACGGCCATCATCACGTGTATACACTCACGTATCTGTTTGGGGCCGAAACATATAGTGTATAAAGAAGAACAAAACGAAAGACCATAAATATAGTTCGCACTTAGGACTGAGTTATATCATATATCGTGTAAAGTGCAACAGGATGCTTAAATATAATAGTCTCAACACCGTGTTCTCAAATAACCTCAGTCTATGTTCCTCCCTTAATGTCAGAGACCAAGTTTCACACCCATACAGAACCACAGGCAAAATTATAGTTTTGTGTATACCATGTTAGATGGGTCCCTGTCACCACGGCATGGCGCGGCCTCACGTTGCGGATGGAGGAGACGCCCTCAAGGTTTGGAGGGAAGCTGCGAATATATTGAATAAGCAGTCGCGGAAAGCCGATAATGGGCGGTACTTCAGCTTGGGGATTGGGCTAACAACTCCTCACCGTAAAAAATACTTTGTTACGAAAATGAACACAAAAAGGAAAGTAGATGGATTAATATAAATGGTGATAGTCCATTTTGATGGCTTGTATTTTTAATTGACAGTTGAATTAGCCATTGGTGTAAGTACTGTCAACCATTTTATTCCCTGCAGTCAACCAGTGTCTGTTACTCGTCCCTCCCCTCATTTTATTTAAACACCATAAATCTCTTTGTCTCTGTGAGACGTCGAGGCTCCAACATTTTCTATACAATCGGCTCACAGATGGCGGTGAGGTTGTCAACCTTACGTTCCGACCACTCCTTCCCCTCCCAGGAAGATTCCTGTTACTCGTTTCTTTTAGAGGCTGAGTCGACCCCAGGGCCATAGTGCCTCAACCAATTACGCTACCGCGTGACATATTTACGGTATAAAGGCAAGTTTATTAATAACTCGTATAAAATTACACATTTGCTTCATGTAATAAGTATATAAGTATATAAAGATATTGACTGTGTACAAATAAGTTTTTATTTGAATAATATACAAAAATACGTTTGTTTTTGTTATAAATAGAGATTGTTAAAGGGAACTATTGAACTACAGCACATAAAATGAAAGTGGTATGCAGTATTCACCTCAGATCTGTTTTCCAGTGAAGTATAACACGAAATTATTGGTAGCCCAATTGAACCATTTGGAATGTGTGTTGGGAAAGTGACATTACGTCACATGCTTGCACCAGAAGACCCATGAGTGTAATAGAATAATGAAGAGTGTTGTCTTCTGGAATCTGACACCATGTATTCTGGTAGAAGTTTGCCGAAGTTTTCGTAGGATCGCTTTTCTTGTATCTTGATAATCGAAAAGTAGGCTGAGCAACCAACTAGCGAGGAGTAAGCATCAATCATGGGAGAGATCAACTTCTGCCAGACTACACGGCGTCATACTCCAGCCAATAATACTGCTACTAGTTGCCACCGTGCGATCCTAATGTCCAGCATGAATAATGTAATGCTGGACGAAACATAGTTGTCTGTATGAGATTAGTCTAAGCAGAGCTGTGTTTGTCGGCTAATGCTGTTTCCGTGGGGACCAAATACGAAATTTATCCCGGTTAAGTATGATTAGAGGCACGAGGTTGAAAAAATCATCGGCATTGTTTCGGTTGGTGGTACAGTATCATAAGTTGGTATTATTATGCCGGACTTTGCTCAAAAAATTGTACCTTCAGGACATTATTATGCTAAGCATCTGTCTCTCCAGGGCGTTTCAAATTTATAGCGTCATGATTTGAAAGTGTCCCTCAAGGACTCTGATGTTTCAGAGAGGATTGATGGAAGCGTTATCTTTAGAAACCGTTGCAAGAAATAAGAATTTCCCTAGATTTAGCTCAGTCGGTGTATCGACGTGCCACGGGCTGGACGACCGAGGGGTTGGAGTTCGAATGCCTGTAGGGTCAAGAATTTTCTCTTCTCCACGACGTCCAGACTGGCTCTGGGGCCCACGCAATCTCCTATACAGTGGGTACCAGAGGCTCTTTCCCCTGAGGTGAAACGGCCGCGGCCTGAAACTGACCACTCACCTCCAACTAGACCCAAGATCAAGCAAATGTGGATCTATACATCCACTCCCCCATACGCCTTCATGGCGTAGTGCTTAATTAGTTAAGTACAGGGACACCTTTACCTTTACCTTTAATCTAGAAAGCTACTCGTAGCAAACTGTCATTGGTTCTTACCCCGTTGTGATGAAGTAATATAAATTTTGAACTTTTATTTTCACAAATTTTTATGTAAGAGAAAAAATTTTAGTATAATTTAACGGAGTTTCTTTTGTGTTTTGCGCGGACGTCCCGCTGATCTTTGCTTTAAAGACTCCTCCTTTCCAGGTCAGCATTTTCACATTCATTTTTCTGTTTACCTCCAATTTCCGTCACTATTGTGGCTTTGAACAATTTTGCGAGTTTTTTAACTACGCTGTCAGTATCCTAAACTAGCAAGGATTGGATAATAATGATGAGCGATGAACTGTAAAGGATTTGGAAGGAAAAGATTGTGGCATAATCTGGGCACAATCCAAGTATTTGGCTTGAGGGACTGAGAGGAACCACAAAATACCAGAAGCAGGATATCCGGTGTTAGCTCCGAGACTCGAACCGAGTATCTCCCAAATACATACCTAGATCCTTACTTGGCCGCGCCATAGCTTAAGCGGTTTGTTGCTGGCTTCCAACCGCGGCGGCCTGGGTTCGATCCCGGGTCTGATCAAGTGGGATTTGTGGTGGATAAAATGGCGCTGGGGCGGGTTTTCTCCGAGTACTTTGGTTTCCCCAGCCAATCTTCATTCCACCAAATTCTCCATCATCATAATCACCCGGGGCAGGTACAATAGGCCAATCAGTGGCCGCCATGCCGAGTGGACCCAGTTGGACTCCACCCCCCACTGGATCTTTACTTTTAGATCAACCTGCTGAGTTTGAGGTTTCTATTTAAAGGTTGTAGTGATAACGGTAGAGTTAATTCTTGCTTATTTACATCGTAGTTTCAAGTAAAATTTCACTCCTAGCTACAAAATGAGAGTTAGTATGGGTTCCATATAAAATAACGTCAAACTCGTGAAAAGCCGCAAAACTGTAAGACGTAACAGTGTACTTGACACATAGACGTCACGGAATACTCTGCGCCTTTCGTCAAACGGATTTCAGAATATCTACAATAAATCATCACTGTTTCCGTGGGATATTCCCTGCTGTACACAATAGCGATATTGTAACATGTCTACATAAATCACTCCTGAACTCCCCTTTTTATGCACACGCTTAAGTGTTGCTTGTGTGTTAAGCTAGTTTCTAGTTTCAGTTGGATAATATAACAAACATGCTTCTTCATTACGTGTTACTACTTACACAAACATGTTTGCACTTAACACTCACATACCTGTACACCTCTACAAATAAAACGACATAATCCTTAACATCTGTTCAGCGTCATGTTCTCCCTGACGTACGTGGTTGTTTATGGACATTCGAAATGTAAATATTAAGTCGTTACTTCAAACAAAAATACTCGTAATTACTTGTACTACATCCATTCTGTGTGTTTTATATGGGATGAACATGCTCAGATTTCACTGGCGTTGGAACATACGCATATTTTAATGTTTAGCGCAACGAAATGAGATAGGTCGCGAAACCGCAAAAGTTTATCGTACATCAGTGATTTCTAAAGTGTTTGTGTGTGGGAAGGGGGGGGGTAGAGTTATTTTTTGGAGGTTTCAGGGTATTCTGGGAATATTTTATAGTGAAATTTAATTGGATTTAATTAAAAAATCATCGGAGATTGAGTGCCTAAACATGCTAATTTTTAAAATACTGATAAACATTGGGATATGATTGGATAAATATTTAAAATGTCTTTATTTTTTAAGGCAGCATCTACACGAGCGCACAAAATGCGTCCGTTATAACGAACGTACTTTGTTGAGGACACCACACAGTTGCAGAATGCGATGCGTGTTTTTTTGTCTGCAATGGAGGCAGAGCAAAGCGTAGTATTCGTCTCTCTTGTTTATTTCTATAACGGACGCTTTTTGTGCGCTCGTGTAAACGCTGCCTAAAAGAAAAACTGAAAAAGCATACAATTTTAAACGGGGAATGATGAGACCTTTTGTAATACGTGGTGGCGCTATTGTATGAAGTTTGGAAACAACTGCTCTACGTAATGGTAATAGTTGTCCCCGTGTTTAATTACGCATCGTGCTCTGAAGGAGTATGGGAGAGTAGAGACATAGCGCCACGCATTCTCATCGTCGGTAGTAGACGGAGATGAGTGATCAAATTCACGCTTCGGCCACTTTACCCTTGGGAAAAAGAGTCCCCGTTATCCACTCTAGAGGAGGCTGGGTGGGCCCCAGATCCGGTCTGGACACCGGAGAACAAACAATTCTCTGCCCCTGATGGAAAATCATGAGGTTCTGTTCCTATGTAGCTGAGCCCCGTAAAATAGTCCGTATAGTGAGTGACCTATCCCGGCTCCGTATGCTGTGTTCTAGGCCCTACATAAATAGTTTCAAAAAGATGACAAACAGTGAAGGAAATGAAGAGTTTTATCTTCTGGAATAAGAGCCTAGACACAGACACGTAGGGCAAGCAGTTTCTGTCCAAGATCCAGTTGTGATCGAAATATTGATCTTATTGTTTCACACGAAGTAATAATGTTGTGCGAATATTACTAACAAAAGAATTCAAGGTGAAAATTCGAATCTCACTTCATTTTCCGGAAACCAACAACACTGTGCCAGTCAACTGAATTTGAAGGAATTTAGGTCCTCACATCTGTGGTTATGAAGACTTCTTATGTCAGAAATGTTGCTTCGTGTAGTCTATTGAAAGTCAAGCGATGTTTCGGAGGAACACGTCATCTCCATCTTCACGGTTTAAGAATAAGCCGAGCAAGAAGCAGGTAGCCAGCAGAAATATTTATTTCTCGTTTCTTGCTTGGCTTACTCATCGATCCTGAAAATGGAGACGATATATTCATACGAAACATTGCTTCATTTTTCACCGTACTACATGTCGTTATGTCCCAGGAGCCAGAACTATTCATTAAGACCACGGTGAGAAGCTCAGATCCTGCAATAAAGAAAATGTTACGTGTATTTCATGGCATGTTTTGTAAACATCAGAGATTCTGATACTGCCATCACGGATGATGCAATATCAAATCTTTGAACTTCGAAGAACTTATTCCCTTTTATATTCCTTGATCACGGTGAATTACTTTTACCGTCAAGTTGTAACTTTTGTGATCTCCTAAAGAATGGAATTATATCTAAATTTAGTTGTTCACTGCTTCTCTTTGTGTCCCGACTGTCTTCAAAGAACTCATCATCAATTCCTGAACCGCGGGTGGAAACGTTAGCTACTGGCATGAGGAATATGTCGATGGGTGTGTTTTCCAATTCTTGTGAATTGTCTGCGCTCGGAGCTGTCTCATCAAACACGTTCGGTTGTTCTTGCGAATCCTCCACGTTTTCCTTTGAAACTTCTGGTGTGAAGTTGTTTTCGTCGGAAATTGTCCCTCGTGGTTGTACGACTTCAGAAATTTTCAACGGTGTCTGTCCTTTGTAGCCATCCTCTTTATTCGGTTCTGATTCATATTCTACTTTTAATGTTTCCTCTTCTCCGTCATTATCCACACCTTCGTAAACTACAGAAATCGTAAACAAAAACGAAATATTAATATAATATAATGTAATCTAAAAACGTAATTCAGTACCCATCATATGTCTTATGTAATTTTTATTTATTTATATATAAATTAAAATCCAGGATTGCCATGGCAAAAGCTGCATTTAGCAAGAAGAAGAATATTTTTACCAGCAAATTGGACTTAAATTTGAGGAAGAAACTAGTGAAATGCTACATTTGGAGCATAGCTCTGTATGGGGCTGAAACATGGACACTTAGGGCAGTAGATCAGAAACATCTGGAAAGTTTCGAAATGTGGTGTTGGAGAAGGATGGAGAAGATCAGTTGGACCGATTATGTGAGAAATGAAGAAGTGTTAATTAGAGTCAGTGAGCAGAGGAATATCCTACACGAAATAAGAAGACGGAAGGCTAATTGGATTGGTCATGTTTTACGCAGAAACTGCCTTCTAAAAGAAGTTATTGAAGGAAAGATAGAGGGGCGGATAGAAGTGACAAGAAGACGTAAGAAGATGCTGGATGACCTTGGGGACAGAAGAGGATACTGTCATTTGAAGGAGAAAGCTCTAGATCGCATTAAATGGAGGAATTGTTTTCGAAGAGACTGTGGGCCTGTCGTCTTGACAGATTACTGATGATGATGAAATTAAATAATTTATCTTTGTCATTACGCAAATTATGGTGCCCAAGCAACGAACCCTGTATAGAGAGTGGCCTAAACACCAGTTCACCTGAAACATTCCATCCTATTAACGGGAATGTTGAGATTTAAACCTGCCAATCAATTTGAACGAAAGTATCACAGCGTTGTGAGTCGTGCATTGAACATTGACCTCATTTCGAAGAGTTCTTGTAAATTTAGAAATTAATAAAGAAATGTCTAACGTATTTTAACGTACATGTTACTAATCAGTTAATTGACTTTTGGGCCACACTGTAGTTTAAGGTATCAGTGCTGATAACTTACTTTTTCGAAGAGTCTCCATTGGATTGCCATCACAGCAGTACTTGGTGCTCTTCACATCAACATGGAAACTCTGAACCGCATCGTTTCTGTAAAAGGAAACATTTTTATAAAATTATTTTTTTTTCTAAATTCCTATTTTATTCAGAAATTTAAATATATAACTTGGAGGGATCTTATGAACACGGTCATGAACCTTCGGGTTCTATGAAATGCTGGGAAGTTCTTGAGTAGCTGCACAACTAGCGGCTTCTCAAGAAGGGGTCAGCTCCATGAGTGAGTGAGTGAATATCTAGATCATATAGCATCGATAGGTACGAAGATGGACGAATTGGAAAGGATTTGGAAGGAAGTGGTCGTGGTCAAATCGGGGAACTACCCCAGAACTTGCGTGAAGAGACAACCATTCAAGAGATTTGAACAGAGCGCCTCTTCGTGAATACCAGCCAGAAGCATTACCGTTATGCTATTCTGCTCAGCAATGACGGCATCACTTGTGACGTATGTATACATAATCAGGCTATTCCGTTTCAGTACTGTACCTGCTATTCAAATTGTTCTTTTTCCTTTTCGGGTAAAGATTGAGGTGAACAACCATTTGGTGTTTAGATTCGCCGTCTGTCTCCGGATCTGGGAACCTGCCTTGATGGTCACCATGCGGAAACCGTACACGCTGCCCAAAACCGTGACCATGTCTCACAACTGGTCTCATCTGCATGTGTTTGTGTGGGTCGACAGTAGCTTGAGGTACGTTATTAACCATCATCGGGTATATATCCAGCATCACACTAAACGGCTTCATCGGTTTTGGTGACTTCGTTGCCGGATGAGGCGTTGTTGCCGGTTCTTTTCCCAGCGGCCGATAGATAACTGAAGTGTATGTGCCTGGGTATGTTTGCATTGCTGGTTCAAGCGAAGACGGTGTAGTTGAGGGCTTATCAAAATTTATAGGAGGACGTGGAAAGTATTTATCATTTGGATTTATCTCAAGTACACCCCATCGAGTACCATCTGGTCGGTTGTTAACGAACCGAATACGATTTTCAAAAGGAGCAAAGCGGAAATCACTGTTTGCCAACAGATTAATTTCTGAAGGGTCGGAGGGCTTGAAGGCGTGGAAAGGGTCGGCAATGTAAGCGTGACCGTTCAGCGATGAATCCGACATTTTGTTCTGATGACTTGACACTTTTATATCTTCCATTGACTCTTGAGGTTTAGTGTAATCTTCAAGGGAATCTTTATTTACATCGGTTTTGTATACACCAGTGAACTTGAACCTTCTTCTGTAGCCTCTGGGTGCCTGAAACACAGTCTTTTCTTGATTTTTGTTACTAGAAGATGGTGTGTTAGAATCATCTGATGTGAGGTATTTAATTATATCTTGAATGTTTTTGGCTCCGTTCGGGTAACGGTAATTGGTGAGTTGGGGATACGTATTCTGAGAGCCGAAGCCGTAATACGGAAGTGCAGTTTGCGGGTCATTTTTGAATACTTTAAGCCTGTTGTGTGTAGGTCTCTCATTTGTCAAGTTCCTTGCTTTGAAAGGTCGCGGTATCTGATAATTCGTATTACCCATAATTCTACTCTCTATTAATGGGTCTGATCGTAACGTTTGGTAAGGTAACCAGTACACTGGATAATTATCTTTTCCAGGAATGTCAAGGGATGTCCCTTCCTGTCGCCTCTTAGGCGGTGTGTTTCGTGTCGCGTCACTGGTAAACGGATTGGTTTCTTGGAACCTCCCATAATTGCCGTTACTAAACCTCGTATCTTCTTGTGTGACCCCAGCCTCAGGCAATGAGATGTATCTATAGGGTAAGGCTTGTGATAAGTGGTGCGATGTTGCCTCGAGGCCTTCATCTGTCAAATCGCTTCGAGTCGACACGTTATGATACGTGTAATCTGATTGGACGATATGTGGACGTGCCACAGTAATGGTGGATTCTGTCGTTGTAGAGCTGGTTCTGCTTTTCTCGGCTGTGGCTGTAATGGGATGCTCTGTTGGCCCTCTGAGCATCAGAAACTGCTGTACATCTTTCTGTCTCGTGGGCAGCCCATAACTGCTCACCATATTATACACCATCAGTCCCACCTGCAACAAATATTATACAATAAAATTCAGAAATGGTACGGTGCCGTCACGGTAGACGAGCGGTCTGAGGCTAGTACTGTCTTCGCTCGCTCCGAAGCCGGGATCGTGGGTTCGAATCCCACAGAAGGCATGGATGTTTGGTGTATGTGTTATTCTGTGTTTGTATTGTCCTGTGTTTAGGTGGAGGCCTTGCGACGAGATGATCACCCGTCTAAGGAGTACTACCATCTGTAAAATGATCATGAAACTCAGAATCTTACGCCAGGGCCAAAGGGGCCTGTAGAGCCAGTGAAAAAAAAGGTACAGAAAGGTAAGGTTGCCTATGTGCTTAATTAACTAAGCACCACGTCATGAAGACATATGGGGGAGTGGAGGCATAGCTCCATTCTTGACCTCAGCACTAGCTGGAGGTGAGTGGTCAACTTCACGCTCCGGCCTCTTTATTCCCGGAGAGAGATTTCCCGATATAGTTCCTGAATTATACGGAGGGAACAGGAATGCTTTAGCGAGTATGCTGACTGGGCCATGGACTGGACAGCCGAGGAGTCGCTTTTCGATTTCCAGCAAGGCTGAAGTCCGGATCGACTCTGAGGTGAACTAGTTTTCTTGTTCAGTGGATGCTGGGGCTGTTTCCTCTGGAGTGAAGCGGGTGAAGCGTGAAGTTGGTCACTTACCTCCATCTAGTGCAGAGATTACAGAGAATGGATAAGGAATGTATCTCAAAGAAAATATTATACAGTACAGTAGGTGGTAGAAGACGTGCGGGGAAACCAAGAACTAGATGGATTGATGCGGTGGAAGAAGATGCAAAGAAGTTAATGGGCGTAAGGAACTGGAAGAGAGCAGCGCAGGATAAAGAGGAATGGAGGGGCTTGATAAGGGAGGCCAAGGCCCGACATCGGGCTGTTGCGCCATAGAAGAAGAAGAAGAATATTTCCGCTCTCCATAAGTTTTCATTGGATGGTGCTTAAGTAAGCGCACAGAGAACTTTGCCTTTGGCTAACCTGAATTACGTGGATATGAAAGAGATAAACCTTAAGAGGTAAATTGAAACGTTGTTATCAAGAATTTCGTTCTCTCCTCTCGCTCCCACTGTGGAGCATATAGCTGATTTCTCAGTTTCATGATCATTTTGCAGACGGTAGGACTTCTTGGACGGGTCCATCAGCTCATCGCAAGGCCTCCACTTAATCACAGAATAAATACATACGCAACCAAACATCCATGCCTTGTGTGGTATTCGAACCCACGATCACGGATTTCGAGCGAGCGAAGACAGTACATGGCTTAGACCGCTCGGTTACCGTGACCGGCTATCAAGAGCATTATGTCACTAATATTCATTATCAACAGGGGAATGATTTTTCTCTTCCCTACAGCATCCAGACCGGTTCTGGGGCCCACCCAGCTTTGTACCCAGTGTGTACCGGGGGCTCTTTTTCCCGGGGAAGAGTAAAACTGCAGGGGCGTGAAACTGAGCGCTGACCTCCATCTAGTGTTGAGGTCAAGAATCTGAGGCTGTACCTTTACTCCTCAACGTGTCATCTTGGTGTGGTGCTTAATTAATTAGACAAGTTTATCATGATCGACATGCCGGAGGGTCGCGGGTTCAAGTCCCGAGGAGACCATTGGATTTTTTTTTCAATTGACCGAATCTTTCCAGCCGCACCACGGCTTTGTGGTCGACTCAACCTCTAACAGAAATGAGTACCAAGAAGATTCTTGGAATGTTCTTGGGGGTAAAGGGCGGCCGGCGCCTTTGGCTGACAACCTTACCGCCATCTATGAGCCGATTTTCTAGAAAATGTGGAAAGTTCAAAATCTCGCAACCCTATGGGCCTTCACGGCCTGTTAACAGGGATAGCTTTACTTTACTTATCATGATCATCATAATCACCACCACAGCCACCATCATCTGATTAGATATATTCAAGAATAAATGTTTCTTTTTCAGATGTTCTTTACCTTGTCACTTTCAGTTTTGTTAGTTCCAAACGAAAGCAACCAGTTAACCTGTTTAAGTGCCCGACATTGACCCAAATTCACGAGCCAGAAACTAACGCTAAGAAAGGCGTTTAGTGACTAATTGTGCTTGTGCTCAAATTAACACTTGACTAACAAAGCATTAACGTTCTTCTAAGTATGACGGAAGGAGAACGATCTGTAATTAGCTCACTGTGTTTATGGCTGTTTTGAACAGAAACGCCTGTAAGACGTCTTTTTTTTTCTTTGTCGTTACAGCCCCAATTTTGACCTTGGCTTACCTCCATGAAACTCTCTGTTTCACTTCGGTTTACTAGATCTTACACATTCGATACGACTCCTTGGGCGGGTGATCAGCTCGTCGCAAGGCCTCTACCTGTGCACAACACACAAAAACGGAGACACACAAACACTGAACATCCATGCCATGAGTGGGATTCGAACCCACGATCACGGTTTGCGAACGTGCGAAGAGAATGCATGCCTTAGACCGCTTGGCTACCGTGACCAGCATGATGTCATATTTTATTTATTGTAATTTATGAATTCATGATAGTACAATTGTATTTACATGGAAGTGGATATTTTCTTTAAACGAATTCTGTTAAAGGATAAATTATTTTGTAGCACCCACCCGAATCAGGCAGATAGAGCCTTCTTTACTTCATTCAGCTTCGAGTGATATAAACATTTAAATAGAATTACTATTGCCCCACAACTTATCACATTATGTAGATGCTATTTCTAGCCACTAGGATCTTGAAGGCGATGTTCTGTAAGGCGATCCTAGAGAAGGATTTGTGACGAAGGTGCATTACACTTCCTGTTACTAACTGCTGAATTTTGTCCATATCTAATATTCTGAAATGGAGATGGTTCTCAATCTGAGGATGGAAGCGGTTTTAGTTCCCGAAAACTGGGGTTATATTTTAGAATATCCTAGGATGCAAAAGCTCGAATAGTTAAAAGACTGGTAAAACTATACACAGTGGCCATAAAGTCATCATGCATTAGACTGGGCCCTGTGGTAATTGGTTTGTATTTGTGCCGCTTTATTCGGTGTATAAGAGCAGTGACATAAAAGTCCTGCAAACGGGGAGAAATGTTCATGTCTTTTCAAGAACAGAAATAATTCCATGGAAATGTATAGTTGTGTAGAATTTCTGAACTTCTCCTAACGACAGTTGAAAAACCACAAACATCTGTCGCTTACCTCTTTAATTACTTCAAAATGTCAATATGGGAAATGTTCAGAAGAACATGGGGAAAATTAAAATTTGTGTGTAGATTTGAGGGGAGCATACAGATAACTTGTAACCAGCACGCAGATGACCTTTGTGGCCATTCTGTAATGTAGCAGTGAGATTAGATTCTGTAGAATTAATTAAATTCAGCCTACAATAAGTTCATTTATGAGAGAGTTAGTTAATTTCTTGTTTTAAGGAGGCGGCTTGTAGCGGCCTTTGAAGTCAGCTGCGTGGCAGAAAGCCAGCCGGAGTAGAAACAGGGTAAGTTGCGGCAGCTCTTAAAAAATTTTAGCAAGGGCGTTTTCTGGACCAACACCACTGCAAAGTTAATTACTCGAAGTGTAGCAGTTGCCCCCCCCCCTTAAGACCATGGCTGTTTCGTTTTTTCACCTAATCGAAGAAAGAATATTCTAGTAACCTACTCCAATAGAACCAATTAGAATTTCGCCCAGAAATTTGGAAATCAGGGCAGACGCGTCTTTTCAGAAATTTCAGAAATTCCAGAACGTTACCCCTAGACGGAGCTACTCGGCGAATTACTATGAAACATTCTCACATTCACTTGTGAATTTCTTTTGTCACCTTCATATTGAAATGTAACATAGTTCTGCAAACTGACATTTATTTTAAACGCATTTCGGTGTGCATTGCTTTGTAAGAGGACACAGCAAAATTAATCGCCCTGTGTTGACGAACTGCGTATGCTTGTTTGCTGTGCGACGAGCCAAGTTCTGCGTCACAGTTTATGTCCCAGACGTCATGATCGAGGGTGTGATTATATGCTGTTAGGGGAGGGAGGGCTGTCTGCCGCGTCAGAGTGCGGCGATGGATGAGTATATGCAGTGGCGACTTCTAGGGGAAAATCGAAGAAACTCGATGAAGGACACCGTCCTCCACAAATCTTACATAAAGTCTCCTGGGACTGAACCCTAAGCTCCGTTGTAAGATACCAGTTTCGATCCTGTATTTATGCATCCTGTTGCATTATTGTGTCTACACGTAATTACAGATTGTAGACGTAACACAATGGCCGCCTCTGTGGTCTAGTTGTCAGAGTTACTGGCTACAGATCCAGAGGTCCCGGCTTCGATTCCCGGCGCCACCAGATTTTCTGAGAAGTAGTAGGTCTCGAACGGGATCCACTCAGCCTCGTGAAGATAATTGACTAGTTACTTGAATGGGAAAATAGCGGCTCCGGTCTGGAAAACCGAAATTAACTGCCGTGAGGATTCGTTGCGCTGACCACGCGACACCCTTTGTCCGCAAAAGTTGGCACTAACTTCGCCGACAAGCGGCGGTCGCTCGGTCGGTATAGTTCGCTTTGCGGACTAAAGGCCGCAGAGTTTTATTTAGACGTAACACAACAACGGGCTTACGAAGAGAAAAACAGGCTGCCGCAATAAAACATCTGAAGTAAAGGATACAGATCTAAACAAGTGGACGACGCCCCTTGCGAGGTATAATAAGAATTTTACAAAGTTAAAGAAAATTTTCAAATATTTTATTTGATTTAAATTGAGNTTACTTGAATGGAAAAATAGCGGCTCCGGTCTGGAAAACCGAAATTAACTGCCGTGAGGATTCGTTGCGCTGACCACGCGACACCCTCTGTCCGCAAAAGTTGGCACTAACTTCACCGACAAGCGGCGGTCGCTCGGTCGGTGTAGTTCGCTTTGCGGACTAAAGGCCTCAGAGTTTTATTTAGACGTAACACAACAAAGGGCTTACGAAGAGAAAAACAGGCTGCCGCAATAAAACTTCTGAAGTAAA